CAGGTCAGCTTGCATATAGTCTAGAGGGCAGTTTAAGATAGTTGGTCTACCATCTTATCCTTACTCCCCTCACGTCTCTACTGATATTCATTCACCCTCTTACTTCTGCAGTGGGAGCTGTGTTCAACCATACAGCAATTCTAAAAGTTAGTAAACCTCCCCAACCAGAAGACATCATGACTTGGCCATCACATAATGTTCTATCAATGTGCACTTGGAGATATCTAACCCAGAGCAAAACGGACTCGCTAACTCCAATCCTCAGAACTTCTATTAGAAAAAACTGTCATAGCAACCCAAAAGAGATATTGGAAAAACCCTGAGCTCTGAAGTTAAACAATTTAGAAGAAAAGAAAAGTAGTTCATCACTGCTCCAAGGTCTAATGCATAAACAAGCTCAGATGATGGCATGTCTGAATACAAAAAGTAGGACACTAGAGGGAACAACAAAATCTTAAAAGCCATATTATTAAAAGTCTTTGGGGGGCTTTCTTATCATAAAACGGTCACACTGAACCGAGTGGAAGGACTTTGCTGGAGCCTCACAATACACTGGAAATATTACTTGTCTTGACAATCATAATCAACAGCAAGCTATTGACCTTATAGACACAGACTACATTGGTAAAGGTCAAAACAAAGAAAGCCATCAGCCAGCTGACAGTAAGAACCTGCCGAAACTTGCGAGGAACTAAGACACACTGATTCTGAAACGATGGAGGGTGGCAAAACACAAACACCTATCACACTATCCTCAGGTGCTTCTTTGATTGAACTTGAAACCACAGCAAGAATGATGGAATGTTTAGGGTAGTAACATGAACTTGTATGTAATGAAGTGTTTTGCAATCTAAAAGCTATTCAGCTGTTTCACAAACATAGAGGCTTGAATAAACCAACAAGCATCGTCTGCATTTGTGAAAGAGAAACAGAATGGCGGAGGAGCCAGCAAGGCTGATGGTCAAAGTTACTGAGCAGACCAGCCATTGTACAGGCAAAAGGAAAAACAGGAAAACACAACTCTGACAGAGAACATATTATTCTAATAGAATTAGTTTCAATCTTCGCCACTCTTCAGCGAGTACTTTTGACCACAAAGTTACAGACTTTTAGCCAAAAGGAAACTGAAACCCCTGGACTGGTTCGTATTTCTAAAATTTCCATTAAATAAAAATAGCCGCGACTCGGTCACAACCTTATATGAAGCTCCCACAGAGAGATCATAAAACAAATATTAAAAAATCACTGCTGCATGACAGTGTTCTGACCGACAACATAAAATGGTGATCACTACACTTTTCCACTCAATCAAAAGAAACAAAAAAAATAATGATGACCTCGAGCCTCCCAGCTGTGATCGAGAGGGTGACCAACAACAGCTGTGTGCTATGTACACAGTACAAAAAAAAACACAGTCAAAAACCAGGAACACTGCAGTAGCCCTTCTTGTGTAATCATTAAGGCACAATGAATGTGGCCAACAACAAAGTGTATAACATCCGTCTTCACATGTCACTCAAGCTTGGACCCAACCAGTAATGGGATCAGATAAGAAGACTAAGCCGAAACTCTTCCCACAATACAGAGAGTTCATCTGATATTGCACCACAAGAATTTACAGTTAAACAAACTTAAACCTTTTGAATTTTTTGTTGCAGCGAATACAATTCCAGTTAGGATTTTTTTTCAGATGTAGCTCCCACCCACCCACCCCCTTTCAAAGATAAATCATGTATGGGCGTCACAATTTTTTTAGTATTATCTCTTGGATCTTCTTTTAACGATAAAAACATTTCTTTGTTAGAGGAAACAATTACCTACGTCCCAAATACTGATTACATTTGAGCTTTGAGGTCAGAGATTGCTTCACTGATGGCTCAGATCTCTTGAGATCTTTAGATACAAACTATACACAATGATTTGTAGAACATATTGGAATCACAAAGGGCAGACAGACAGATCATGAGGGGAGGGGGGCAGATGGAGAGGAAGAGGGAGGGAGACGGAGAGAGAGGGGGAGAGGGAGAGAGCGCGCACGTGCGCGCGAGAGAGAGACAGAGAGAGAGAGGGAGAGAGGGAGGGAGAGAGGGAGAGAGGGAGGGGGAGAGAGAGAGAAAGGGAGAGAGGGAGGGGGAGAGAGAGAGAAAGGGAGAGAGAGAGGGAGAGAGAGAGAGAGAGGGAGAGAGAGAGAGAGAGAGAAAGAGAGAGAGAGAGAGAGAGAGAGAGAGAGAGAGAGAGAGAGAGATTTGGGGGGTGAACTACGAGGGAGGGGGGGGGGGGAAGAGGGGTAATTGAACACTTAATTCAGATCTCTTGTTAAATGTAATCATTTGCACCATCCCTACTTAACCCTCCTTGTACTGTACACTGATACAAAAGCACATTCTTTCCCCCAGCGCTGAACAGGAGAGGATTAAGATTCAAAATCTTTTTTAACTTTCTTCATTTCATTCTTTTCACTCTTGATCTAGAGAAAACTACAAAGCTCTCTCCTTCGTCTCGACACTCATTTGGCACTGCAGAAGATTTAGCAAGTGCATTTCACAAAGAAAGCTACACTTTGTGTTTCTCATTCCGAACTTTGCTATTGTCGGGAATGATCTGCTCAAATCCAATCATTAACCAGATTGAATGAGACTGCATTCTCAGTGCGCGCTGTGAGGTGCACAAATACCCTTACATAATGACCCAACTTATGTTCTTATGAACATGAGTAATGGGGCTCAAGGTAAAAGTTTATGTCTGTCAAAAAAAGGGAACACTAAACAGACGAAAGTGACGCATTTCTTTCGTTGTAGATTTAGACATGGTATTCCTCAGTGCACAGTTACTGGCTTAAGTAGGGTGTGGGGGGTGGAATGTTCCCTCACCCACACTAACAACAACAACAAAAAAAAAACATTAAAGAAAATGGTAAATGTTTATGTACAGACACTGAATCATGAGTGCAGGGAAACTATACAAATGTTGAAATGTCTGATGGTATTAAGCAGATGATGCTGCAAAGCTTGATATGAATCTCTTTAAGTTGAAGCAACCTTACGAGAAAGCTGCAGCACATGAAATTGGCCAGACTCCCAGAAATTTAAAAATTTAATCCCCGAAAGTTGGGCGCAAAAATAAGCATGATTAAAAAAAAAAGAAGAAAGAAAAGTCTGAAGCATTTGAGATTTCTGGAAATCTAAACATAACCGGAAAACTGGCATCCTATATATGTATGAGCTAGGTATAAATGCAGTAGCGATCTATATAATAGAGCCCTACCGGAGGGGGAGCTGGCAGTGGGTGGGTCAGTGAGAGCATAAGAGAGAGCATGAGAGAGAGAGAGAGAGAGAGAGAGAGAGAGAGAGAGAGAAAACAGAGAGAGAGAGAGAGAGGGAGAGAGAGGAAGGGAGAGAGACAAAGAGGGAGAAAGAGAGACAGTGGGAGAAAGAGTGAGGGAAAGTGGGAGAGAGAGAGAGAGAAAGAGAGAGGGAAAGTGGGGGGGAGACACAGAAAGAGAGAGAGAAAGTGGGAGAGATAGAGAAAGAGAAAAAGATAGAGAGAGTGTGAG